CTATTTTAGCTCATGTGGTATGTTTATATTTTCTTATAAGAATAGTGATGTAACCAGAAAAAAGTCGTAGAGCAGAGGACGATGCATGGGGAAACCTCTTCAAATATTCTCTTCCGATTTCAATGGCTTATTCCTGCTTATAAACTCAACTAGATTAGCTGGCATTAAAAAATTCAGAAATTTTTGCATAAAGCCTCTTCGAGAAATGAAACTATCAAAAAAATGCATGTTGTATAAACTATCCATAGAAAAAAAAGAGTCTTTATCTTGAAATGCTTATATCTTAAAGAGACTTTATTCAAAACTTTTGAGTTTTTGTATGGAAGCTAGTCTGGCTAAATTCTTTATGTGTACAAAGTTTTAGATCAATACTAACCTTCTAGTAACGTTCCTAGAGAACGATTAGATGTTTTTTTTTTAAATGGACCTCAATTATTAGTCTTTCTAAGAGGAGCTGAGTTTCTTGTCTGGTTACGCCACTAATTAAGAATAGAAATTTTATAATAAAAAAAAATACATATATATATATAATTTTAGGGAAGCTATGTACCAGCCATATCATGTACAATGAGTGTATGTGATCGAATCTTTACACGTTTGGGTGCTAGTGATCGAATTATGGCTGGTGAATCAACATTTTTTGTTGAATTAAGTGAAGCATCATCAATTTTACGTCATGCTTCTCGTCATTCTTTAGTACTTATTGATGAACTTGGTTAGAAAATTGAAAATTTTATTTCGCTTTTCTTTTCTTTTTTTTTAATATAAATATCTATATTATATTTAAGGACGAGGAACATCAACGTTTGATGGTACAGCTATTGCTTGTTCTGTTGTTAATGATCTTGCAAATCGTATCAAATGTCGAACATTATTTAGTACACATTATCATACATTAGTTGATGATTTTGAAAAACATGAAAATGTTGGATTAGGACATATGGTATATGTGATTTTATGAATAAGATTATATCATCAATTTTAATTTTTGTTTTTATATAATTATAGTCATGTATGATTGAAAATGATGAAGAAACATTGACAAAAGAAACACTTGTTTTTCTTTATAAATTTGTCGAAGGTTCATGTCCAAAAAGTCATGGATTTAATGCAGCTCGTAAGTAAAAATATTTAACTAAGGATAAAACATAATATCGTATTATTTTAAAGGTTTGGCTAATATACCTGAATCTATTGTTGAATTAGCACAAACAAAAGCTTCAGCATTCGAACGATGGGTAACACTTAAACGAATATTATTAACATTGAAAAAAGTAACTGATAATTCACAACAACAAGATATTCTTCAATTCTTATCACAATTAAAACTTAATTAAATGTTATTATTTACTTACTTGTCTTTTTACTTTATCTGATTTATCTATGTACGTGAGTGAGCAAAAAAAACGAGGTATATGTGTAAAAAAAAAATAATCATGAGAATTTATCTGTGTTGTTATTCAAAAAAAGTAAAATAGGACTTCTTCTTTTTTCTTTATTTTTTTTTTCTTCTTTGTTATTTATTCTTTTGTACTTTGAAAACATTAACCAAGGTCTTTTTTTGTTGTCTATAATGAACTCACATGAAGAAAAAAAATAGAAGAAGATTAATTTATTGACGTCTTTTATGTTTCTTTTTGTCCTTCGCGTATTTGTTTGCCAGCTGATAATGACTCATATTCAGTACTAAATCACAATGAGAATCACGCACACAGCTAGCGTTGCGTCCTCTAGGGTATAGGCCTACTAGAAGTGTATGCAGTATATGTAAGTAAAAACATTTGCTTTTCTTCCTGTTTCTCTTCTAACCAATGTTTTTTCATGGAATATTCAAATGAATAATGTACGGATCGTCTGATGACTGTTAACATTCGTATGTGTGTGTGAGAGGGAGATGATTGCGACGCAAAATCATTTAGTATTAATTTCATTGATGTTTCATCAATGTTGATAATGAAAAAAAAAACAAGACGTATACATATATTTGTTTATTTATTTTTTTGAAATAAAACTTGATAACATATATATATATATTTTATTTTTAGATCTTTTCGTTCTTTTTTTTTCTTTTTTGAAAATTAATAAATCAAAGATTATACAGAAATGGCATCACGAAAAAAAGTTTTACTTAAAGTGATTATATTAGGTGATTCAGGTGTTGGTAAAACATCATTAATGAATCAATTTGTTAATCGAAAAGTATGAATCAAGTCTCTGTTTTTGTTTTATTTATATTAGATTATTTATTTTAGTTTTCAAATCAATATAAAGCAACAATTGGTGCCGACTTTTTAACTAAGGAATTACAAATTGATGATCGTCTTGTTACCATGCAGGTAATTATATCAGATTTTAAGACAATTAGGAAAAAAAAGTAATATTTTGTTTCTAATTTAGATTTGGGATACAGCTGGTCAAGAACGTTTTCAAAGTTTAGGTGTTGCATTTTATCGTGGTGCTGATTGTTGTATTCTTGTTATGGATGTAACATCACCGACATCATTTAAATCATTAGAAAGTTGGAAAGATGAATTTCTTATTCAAGCTGGACCACGTGATCCAGAAAATTTTCCATTTGTCGTAAGGCATTGTTTTTTTGTATTCGACAAATAAATTTCTATTATTATTATTATTATATAGGTACTTGGCAATAAAATCGATTTAGAAAATCGAATGGTAAATTTTTTTTTTATTTGTGTTTTTAATTTTAATTTTTGTTATCGATTTAGATTCCAACGCGTAAAGCACAAAGCTGGTGTCAAGGTATATAGAATTATTTGAATAAAAATTTGATTTATTTAGTTTTGTTCATTTAGAAAAAAATAACATTCCATATTTTGAAACATCAGCTAAAGAAGGTATTAACGTTGAAAAAGCATTTGAAACGGTTGCACGTAATGCATTAGCACGTGAAAAAGAAATCGATCAACAAACTGATTTTCCAATGCCAATACGTATTCCACAACAAGAAGAACAACAAAAGAAAGAAGGATGTTCATGTTAATAGAATAAAACACTAATACATATGGTCTTCTATTATTATAATTATTACTATTTTTTTTGTATATAAACAAAAAAAAAAGAATAAAAATTCAAGCTACCTCGATATTTCTCTTAATCTGTTTTCGAAGAAAAATGAAAATGTCTTGTCTATGTCTTCTTATTAATAACGCTGATTTTTTTCTTGTATGTATTTAACTTTTGCGAACACATTGGTTACAAATTTTTCTTTTTCTTTCTTTTTGTTTCTTCTTATGTGTAAAACTAATTTAACATCATACGCAATATCGACTTTATTAAAATAAAGAAACCGATTAGTTTTAAAATATATTTTCGAAGTTTTTTTATGTGTTTATCTGTGATTCAATTGTCTGAATGGGTCACGTTTCATTATTAGATAAAGGTACATTTTCGTACGTGATAATACATCATGTTTATTTATTGAATTACACAAAAAGAAAACTTATGCCGGTTCGATGACTAAAGAACAACATTTAGCCTATATAGGTTATGTCTTTCATGCTATTTTGAAAAAAGAAATGCTGAATTAAACAGCATTATTTATATTCGAGAGATAATAGTCTTTGAAAAGTTTGAAAGTATTGTAAAAAAAAATAGAAAAATTCTTACAATTTCTATTGTCTAGTAGTTATTAATAAAATAAAGAAATAAGTTAGATAAAAGATATACACGTATAGTAATAATTGCTTCGCTTGAAAAAGCTCTCATATTTCCATAACTGAATATCATTTATTCTTTGACGGCATGATAATTGTGATGAAGAAGCAAAACAGTTTATTTCAATATAATTAGTAGATAATTGATGAGTATCTGTTATATAATTAGAAATATGATTTAAATATACACAGGTATTACTTGTTGCTCTTCTTTTTTTTAAGGACAAACATACTTGATTTATGCTAGTTCAGCTTGAAGAATGTTTTTCAGTGATGAGGGATACTAATGACCTTTACTTTCTCTATATATCATAAGCAGATATAACTCACGCTTCAAGTGTATTGTTTTTAGGGATTTCCCTATTTCTTTATTGTAAAGACAATCGATACAATATAGGACAGTGACGAAAAATTTCACAAAAGTTTACAAACAAATCACTGTTTCAGAGTTTATTTCAAGCCGTCTATCTAGTGAACTGTGAATTGTTCATGAGTGTAACTATGCTACGAATATATTCGTACGAGACCAATATGGTGAGACGATGATTTTTGTATAGAGACATAAAAAAAAATGGTATATTATAAGTGAAAAAAGGAATTTTATTTGTTGTGAGAGATTCTTTAGTATTTGCGACGAAGTCAACATTATTATTGTGCATGATTAATAATAGATAAGTTTGCATCTATTTTGACATGATGTTCAATACAAACTAAATGCGGCATTATATAGTTTCTTAATTTTGTGTGAGCAAAACTAGAGAGTTTTTTTTTCGAAGACTTTATTTTTGAATGAAAATCAATATCTACGAAATTTATTTGTCAATATAATTTGTTCACCAATTCAAAGCAGAGTATTCTCTTTTTGTCGAAAGCTTAATTGATTTTCTTGTTTCGTCGAATAATTTGATGTATCTTTTTTGTCATCATTCTTGTTTCGTCGAAAATAAAAATATGACTGTTCTCGTTTCATCGAAAAAATGAAATGTAATGATATGAGCTAAAATGAAAGGCATCATCTTAATTGTTTTGATTGTCTTAAAATGTTCTTTTTCTAAATAAATTGATTAAAACTCTTAAGTTATTAAAGCGAAAAAAATATATATAGACATATAGGGAAAGGTTTAATCTTACTGTTTATGCTATATTTAATTTGAGTAAAGAATGATGTCAACTATTGTTGAAAGTAAACGTAAAAAAGCTATATTACTTCTCGATAATTTCCGTTATACCCAAGATAAAATTATAAATACAACGATTTATTAAAAATGTGAAAATCGCTCTTGTCCTGGTCGTGCTATTCAGTATGATTCAAATCCACCATTTATGAAGAAACCATGTAATCATGAAGGTGATGAAATTAAATGCAAAGTCGAAGAATTTAGAATGAATTTAAAACGACGTATTGAAGATTCACCGCAACCAGTTAAAAAGATTTATAGAGAACAAATAATATCATTATATACAGCATCACCGCAAATTACACCATTTACACCAATGTTTCACGAGATGAAAACTTCATTATATAATGCAAGAAATACAAGTTATCCACCTGCTCCACGTAATATTGATGATGTTAATATTGAAGAAATATGAATTAAAACTTTAAATGGTGAATTATTCCTTTTACATAAATTAAAATATCCTATATTTGGGACATTAGAATCTCTTAAACAATTATCAGGAAGTGATAATGATCATTTATTTTTTGACGGAACTTTTAAATCATGCCCAAATTCATTTTATCAATTATATTCTGTTCATTCGGTAAACAATGAATTATCAACACCAAAAGTGTACATTTTATTACCTGATAAAAAAGGTCCAACATATATATCAATTTTTAATTCTATATTAAATTTGTGTCATGTAAATGATATTTGTCTCAATCCGAAGTATGTTACTATTGACTTTGAACAAGCTGCTATAAATTCTATTAAATTAATTTTTCCAAATGCTATCATCAAAGGATGTAAATTTCACTTCAATAAGTGCATTTATATCAAATTACAGGAGTTGAGATTTCAGTCTGCGTTTATTAAGAAGAAATCAAGTGATATAAATGAAATTAATGTTAGAAATTTTTATAAAAAAACGTGTGCGCTTGCATTCATGTCACCACAAGAGATTAGTAATTTGAGGGTTATGATAATGGATAAATATCAAGATATTGATAATATAGATGAATTTTACGATAATGTAACAACTACATGGATAGATAATGATGCATTATTTGATTATACATTATGGAATTATTTTGATTTTAAAAGTTTAAGGACTAACAACAATTTGGAAGATTGGCATCACAGACTGAATAATGATTTAAATAATGTTGTACATCCACATTTTTATATATTAATACGTTCAGTTCAAAATGATCATGCTTATGATTCAGCAATATTATTACGTCATTTAAAAACTGGTGCATTACCTCCACGAAAAAAATTATTTGTTAATCGAAATGCAAGATTAAATAATTTAGAAGAACGTTTCAAACAAAAAACATTAACATTAGATGAATATCTTAAAAAAGTTATGCAATTAATTGCAATACAAAAGTATTGATTTTTCTTTTTTATATTCATATTCTCTTAATAGTTTGTTATATATGTATATAAACTTGCTATACAATAAATCTTTTTTGATAAAATTATCTACATCTGATCAGGCGCTACTTCTGATTAGTAGGGAAAAACATTTTATCAATTGATATAATCTATTTTCCATCAATTAATTAGGATTCATTTTTTCGACGAAACGAGAACAGTCATTTTTTCAGTTTCGACGAAACACGACTAGTAGAAAAAAAAATTTTCGACGAAACAAGACCTAACCCTGCTAAACCTCTACTTGAAACTCTAAACATACCCGATGATCTTATTTGGCAAACATCTAAACGTGTGGTATGCCTGCTCTGAAACTTCTTCTCCACTTCAGACTAATTGACAATCACACACATCCTCGTCTCTTATCTCCTGTCACCTGCATATAAAAATTAAACCTTATGTTGCTGCTCACTATTTGAATAGAATAAATGATTATTCTTCTGTTAAGTACAATTTACACAGGCATTTCTTTCTAGAGAACAATTCTGGTTTGCTAGTGTTTCCAAGATTTAGCGAATCACAAACATTTTCATTTTTCTTCTAGGTCCTTCCGCATATCAGAGCAATCAGAGCATCTTCTTTTCTTTTTCTTTATCTTACAGTATCGTCAACAGAAAACAAAAGCATTCATAAATGGTGAACTTCTTCAAGAAGATTGTGAAAGTTTGAAATAATCACGCCATTTTAAAGAATTGATTCTAGCTTTTTGTTATTGGTGTGAAGTACTGAAAGTGAAGTTAAAGTAGTATGTGAACATATGAGAGGAACAAAATAGTTGCCAGTTATAGTTAAGAGAGGATAAAGTGAAAAAAAACGAAATTCAGATATGACAGAAAGTAGTGCTCGGTACCAACTCTTCACGACAAAAATAGGTGTAATCTAACAAACTATACGAAGACTATATACACTACGCGGCATGCAATAATTTATCTAGTCTAACTCATTCATCATCAAAACTGAGGTTTGCCTGTCAATTGACAGTAATATCGATAGTTTATGAATATTGGAATCTAATTCGAATAAATCTTCTTTTACAGTTTAATTAAATGCAAATCCAAATGCTACAAATGCTACAAATGCAGATATTTTGTTTTCGAAACGACAATAAAGTAGTACTACTAATGATCCATCTATATTTACTGATATACAAACATGAGCATACCTGATTCAAAAACTCAAAGGGAATGTTAAGATCTTTCTAACTTTCTTGTGGTCTTTTTACCAACAAATGATGTTTCAACTGCATTAAAAACCTAGAATACATTCAATCTCTATCTTTTTGTGCTAAGAGACAGATATAGTTCAACTATTCAGCTCGAAAATTCTAGTGTTTATCTCATTAACTATTCTTTTGAGAGATTCAGCTATTCAATTATTTAACCGATGCACTTTTCAGGTGAGATGCTCTATGACTCAACTATTCAGCTCAGATATTCAACTGTTCAACTATTCAACTATTCATTTCTCGTATTTAGATATTCAACTATTGAACTGAAAGGTTCAGATACGCAATTATTTAACCGTTCGAATATTTAGCTCAAATATTGTATTGTTCAACTAGAGTGTGTTTGTATTTGTGAAGCAATCTACGACGTGTTTGGACGTTGCTGTAGGGTTTTATCAGACATTTTTGACTCTGTAATGATTCAGATGATGCGACGAGTCTCATATTGGACATCGAAAGTATACAATATTTCGATAGGGTCTACTCTCAAAAAAAAGGCATCATATGGAACCAAAACTGATCTCGTATGCGAGACGGTACTTTAAAAAAGTTCCGAACAGGTACCAAACTTAAAAAATGTTTTGAATTTTGCAACGAAAACGAAACCTTCGAAATCTTAAAAAAGACTCCTAAAGTTCGGTTGATCATTCTGAGCACGTGTTGGGTTTTAGGAAACCTAGAAGAAGGTTTCGCTTTTGTTGCAAAAATGGTTCCGTATGGTACTTTAGCTTTTTTTCAAAGTAGGATACTTCTCTGAACTGATTTCGTACAACTTTAATGAAGTCTTATATTCTAACCAAATGCTCTCTAAAATCCTTTAGAATCTTGCGCATTTAGAAAAATTTGAAGGTACATAAAAAGTAGATCACGATCTTCGTTGAATATGATGTTAATCTTGCTCAATCTTTAGATTCACTCATCTTGCGACTTCCTTCATCACATGTACTTATTCTCCGTAGAATCTTCACAATCATTCAGAGAACGCGTTCGGTACGATTAAGGACGGTGTTCAGAAATCAGAGTAATAATTTCAAGACAAAATAAACCATAGGATATCACGAAATTTCACATGCGACACGTTGTTGAAAGCATCTCTCCAAGTATGATCATGCTATCAACAAGGGGTCTCATAGATTACTCTTCATGTTACAAATAAGTCAATTACGGCAAAATCAAATCCAATGTCAAGCGGCATAAAATTTCGCAAATGTTTTCTGCAACAACACGGTAAAACATCATTTTTAATCCATTTTAATCTTTCCTATCTCAATATTTTGCACAGACGCTCACCACACTTGACCTCGGGTCCGATAGAATCGAAGACGAAGGGACACTATACCTTGCCAATGCTCTCACGAACAACATAGTAAAAGATCAATCTCTACTGATCTCACTCTTTTCTATTCGCACTGTCTATACAGCCACTCAATGAACTCTAGGTTTGGCTGATTGAAATAGAAGACCAAGGGATCCAACATCTTGCTAATGCTCCAACAAACAATACAGTAAAACATCGTTTTCGACTTATCTCCCTCTTGAAGATGTCCGCTTTTCACGCAGGCGCTCACGAGACTTAACTAAAGGTCGAATCAAATCGTAGAGCAAGGAACTCAACATCTTGTCAATATTTTCACAAGCAACACGAGAAAACATCATATTCTACTCGTTTTCCATTTTGGTATCTCCGGTTTTTACAAAGATACTTGTCACACTTGACATGACGGACAGTAGCATCGAAGAACAAGAAAAACGCAACGCGGTCAAAATTCTGAGGAGAAATGACGTGTTGAAAGCGTTCTGGTCATCACAGTTTATTCTACTTTCAGACGTTTGTACTCGAATATTTCTGACGGAGTGATGTTTTTGAACACTGCTCGTTTTTGAAGGAGGAATTCTACTTGACATTTTGACATGGATTGTTTGTATTATATGTCTTTGCTATATGGTCTAGAAATTCGTTGAAAACTATATAGACTGTTCTCTGGGAACAATTGATTCATAACTAAGTGTTCAAATATAGTTGATTACTTTTGAAGGTATACACGGTAGGCTACCATATGTGTACGTTTGAGATATTGGCTTCTATTTTCGACTTCTCAGAGATTCAACTGTATACTATCGATTGCTTACAGAGAGAACACTCTAGTGTCTGTGAAACATATTTAGTTTGCAGAAATTTCGTTGAAGGCTGATCACTTCATAGATAAAACGCTTGTAGCTCAGAAAACGTATGCATTCGTGATCTCAACCTCTTTCCTTTTACATCAAGAATATGATGAAAATAAAAAGAGACATACTTGGATTAGAGGACGTTTGAATTTCTAGGTCATTTGGTTTCCACTATTGTTGAAAAAGGACTTAACTGAGTACAAGACTAATAGCTATCTCGACAAGTGAGGGGTATAAAGAAACCTGAAAACCGAATAAGGAATCTCAGCAATAGGTGCACAGTTACTTTCTTTTAAACATCGAAACTCAAAACTCAACAACAAGAGTATTCACGCTTCGCATACAACTAAACACTCAATATCTTTTCCTTTTGCACTAATTTTTTCGAATATTTGTAAAAGACGCGGAGACTCACAAAGAATTACAAATCACAAATTAATATCATAAGTAGATCGAGCTCGACGAGCTGATTTTATAAAAATCCACAAGCACTCAAATTAGTTGAACATGAGAGTGATTTTCAATACGCAGTGCTTTTTTTCAACCGACGAAGACCCCAGAAGATCCATATCTTTTACTAGTCGATATGTTGACTTGACTTAGGCACATATTCAAAATATTTGGTTTCTATATGCTTGCCAAAGAAAAGTAAAATGGATGTATCTTTTCAACTTTATGACTTATGCGCATTATTCTAGGTAAGTCACGATCGTCAGCATAGAGCACGAAGTTTTTACAAAAAGACCTAAAACATGCATTTTGGCTAATGAGGGTCTCAGTGGAGTCATATCTCAAGACCAATTATATCAATGAAGCTAAAGTTTTTTGCGAGCATATATATTTATAAATTCAACTTACGATAAAATTTTCAACAGACAACATAGAGCCCTTAAATTTTTATGACTTCCGCCATTTGGACAAGAATTCACATTTTAGGCAACTTTGATGCTTCATACATCGTGATTAGACTAAGATAGAGGTCTGAAATTTTCACTGAAGCTAGAATACATAGAGTTGTATATTCGTTAAAAATCGCAACAATGCAGACCCTTTCTTTTGGTCAGCAGGGCTCTCTTAAAAATGGGCTTTTAATGAAAATCGTGCTTTTCGGATGAGGTTGTAGGCCATGAAATGGATTAGTTTAAAGACTAAGCTTTAAAATTTGGAAGGCTAATGTAAAGTCTACGACCTCACGATAAAATCAGTCTTGATTATCGAGAAACCTCAGAGAAGCGGTCGTCTTTAGTATTCTAGATGAGGTCGTCAACCGAATACGAAATCCTACACGTCGAATTTAAAGGCGAGTATGGTTGTAGATGACTTTTTCACCAACGTCCACCCATCCACCCACATCCACACTCTTATCTCTTATCACCGATTTTATTTTGCGGATATTTTTTTCTTTAATTCAGGGAGAACGTCATGAATTCAGAAGACACGACACAGCACAAGTGTTGCTTGTGACTAACTTCAAAACAGTTCAAACGTAACACTTTGCAATAATAAAACAATTTGTTCTACTAAGGAAAATTTAATTAACTTTGATGAAAAATAATAACACAACA